AAGGACCCCAATCATTGTGTTTGTCAAGACACTTCTGGCAAAAATACTGGTTACAATCTTTACAAAAGCCACTAGCATTAGCACTGGAGCAATTGTCACACTTTACCTCACCAGAAAGTTGCTTCATTTCTTCATAGATCTTTCTAAACTCTACTAGGTGAGGTGCAACAGAAAAGCCAGCAGCTCCAGCATGGTCTGGTAGCTCAGTGTGTTGATGACAGGTAGGACAGGCCACAGAGAAGGTAGGGATGGTAGCTAATCCCTCAATACACTCCTGACAGAATGAATGGTGACAAGAGAGTGTCTTGGGTTTAGTGTAGAGGTTGTGACACCTGCCACATGTTAACTGATCCTGTAGCTTGACAAGAGGGAATGATGATCCTTTAGTAGCCATTACAACCGAAAAAGAGAGAGAAGAGTGACACCTTATAGCACAACTTGATGGATAAGTCTTTCAACTGGTATGGGAACTTATATACTAATCCTTACTATAAAAACACCCTTTTGGCTTTCGCAAGCAAACCACCCCTTTGGCTTTTGAAAGCAAAGGGCCAAAGGGGTGGATTTCCAAACTCTGCACTATATGAAAACACTTGTAATCACAGTCGTGTACTATTTGAACCCTCAAAGGGTGGACTTTTGGATTCCAGAAATTTGATATGTGAATCCTTCTCTACCTCTTTGAAAACCACCCCTTTAGCTTTTGAAAGCAAAGGGCCAAAGGGGCGGATTTCAAAACACCATATACTCACAGTCGTGTGCTATTTGAACCTTAAAGCCATACTCCAGGCCAGAAATTTGATATGTGAATCCTTCTCTACCTTTTTGACCATACAATCACAAATGGGCAAACTATAATAGATCTACTACATACAAGAAATCAACTTATCATTTCATAGTATTATCAATTAGTTTCACTAATATGGTTGCTTGTTTCTTTGCTTTCCTAATACACTTTTGAATATCATCACTAGTCATAGCTGGTCCACCTACATATACATGTACAATGAATGGTATACAAGCCACAGTATATTATAATACCATATTTATATAGTCCAGTTAATTTCTGATCATTAGTTACTGCTATACATACAATACCAGTACAATACTGAGCCTCATCATCAGTAGGATCAACTAATACACCAATATTAGTATCAGATACCTCCCTATTAGGAAGTAACGTGAGATGTACATGTTCATGACAATGAAAGAAGCATTGAGCTCTAGAGCCATTGCTTATATATACTGTATAGTGAAATTTCCCCCCCTCTCTCTCTCTCTCTCTCTCTCTCTCTCTCTCTCTCTCTCTCCTCTTACTTTTTATGAATAGCAAATGAGGTCATTAATGGATACTGTCCTGTCTTTAGGTGGTTTCTAGTTGCCATAGAGACCAAGGGTTTCTCTGACTCTATTTCAACACTTGGAAGTGTTGCTAGAAAGAAACAACAATAACAATAATAATTACCGTATAGCTTGATATTTTCGTGGGTCGATATTTTCGTGGTTTGCTCCTAGTGGGGCAATTCGTGGTTTAATTTTCGTGGTTGACAGTTTACATAGCCTGTAAGGGGATGGCACTTCAATGATTTTGTGGGTTTAAATTTCGTGGGCAGCCCATAACCACGAAAATCACAAAATTTACATTCCACAAAAATTTCAAGCTATACGGTATATTATTATATGTACCATTTTTAAGTGCAGATACAGCTGCTAATACACAGGCATCAATAACTGGCCCATCACAACTGAGAACAACCACATCAACATTCAATGACCAACAAATCTTAATAAGAATTTAATTAAATAAGAATTGGTATTAATCTTGAGTTTTTGACTATCCATTGTACATGAACATTGCTTCAATTAACTCACTTTCCCTTCCTCTATGCACAAGTGTTCAAGGTTTATAAATTTTGAGCTAGAAGGATAATGAAATAACAAAAATCTCTTTAATGATCACAATCATAATCTCAAATTACCAATAATAAAACCTTTCCCATATTAAAGTATGTGATCAGTATACTGTATTACCTGTGTATAATGTCTTGGATTATTTGTGTGAGAGATTGAGACGAAAAGAATTTTTCTCCTCCACCTATAGCACCTAACTTTTCGCTACCAGTAACTAATGAATATTCAACATTCAAAACTAAAAATTTGAAGATAAGAAAAATAAATAAATGACCTTATCTTCTCTTACCAATAAATCCATCCTTTGGTGATATGGCACGAGGATTAGCCAGTTCCTATGAGGTAATTATCATTAATAATTAAAGGGGCTCACCATACTTACCCCCTTCACTCCACATGCTACACAAGTACCACCAATTCTAACAACAGCTGATCCATCAGCCGATTTAAACGAACCTAATAATAATTAAAATAATAGCCACACCCACCCCATCCATGTAATAGGAAATATGAATTTAATTAAAGAGTTGCAATATTAATTGCACAAAATGAAGTTGATCGTACCGACAGTAAGAGTGGTTGAACGAGTTTGATTATGAGAGCGGCCATCTTCTCTGTATCCTTCGTCCTGTAAAGGAAGTGGTAAATATTATTATTATTTATTGTTTTTGTCATCATTAATTTACCAGTATTTGTTTAATGAATTCTTCAGGAAACAGCAACCTGTATAAAGAATATTTCTGTCAAAGATACAACAAGTTTCCAACCTAAAATCTAGATCCATTTTTGTTTGAGACAAAACCATGTGGCAAAACGTGTTCTACTGAACGGACATGACCGGAGATCTCCGGTATCAAAACCACGCCTGTTTATTCAGTTTATTAAAAGTAACTAACTAGAACATTATTAAAAGTTATAAAAACTTGCAAGTCAAACTACATTGAGGATAGGAATACATTTACACTCAAAAAAATTTAAAAGTTTTAACGTTTTGATGCAGCAGCTGTTATTCCTTGTATGAGAGGAACAATAGCTGCCAGGCACTCCATTAGAGGCTTGCATACAGGAAAGGTGATATTCAAAAACCAAGTGACAACCTTTAGCATTGGAATGTATATCCAATTCGCAATAAAAGAGACTGAGCCAAGGATGAACGCCCAGACCACCGTAGCTGGTATACCCAAGATGATCACTAGGTAGTTATAGCAGCATATCTTGCAGCAGGTGTAGGCATATTTATTCATTGAGCGTATGTACTTGTTTGTGCGGGTTCCATCATGCTCCTTGATAAATTCTTCAAAATCCAGCTGCAAAAATAAAAATAATAAAAATAATAACATTGCATATGTGCATGCATGCATTCACCAATAACATAATTAAGAAAGAATTCTGTACTGAGCAGATATTTTAGTCATGAATGCATGAATAGAAGCACATTTATTTTTACTTGTGGTCTGAAATTAAAGATATCTTCATTAACTTCAACATCAGGGCCTTCTCTTCCTCTATTAGTGTCTCCTCCTGCTTTCCCTTCACCTAGAAGAGGTGGCACTGGAAACTGCGGCAAAGAGGAGAGTGGAATAAAAGTGGCTCCACCACCAGCTGCACCAGGTGGGATTATATGAGCAGGGGGTGGTAGTGGCTGAGTTTCATCAACTTTTGTTGAAAGGGGATCAACTGCTGTTTCAAAAAAAGGAGGTGCAGCTGAAGCTTTAGGCAGTACTAATGGAGAAGGAGGACGATGAACAGGAGAAGGAGGAGAAGGATTTGGAAGAACTTGAGAAGGAGGATTTGGAAAAACTTGAGGTGAAGGTTCTAAAGGAGGTAGTTGAAACCGACGTGGAGGTGGGTTAGGACGTGGGTTTGGTAGTGGACGGGTTTTAGGACGTGGGTTAGGAGGAGGAGGAGGATTAGAAGCAGGAGTTTCAGCAGATTCTAAAGAGCTCTCTGCAAATGTAGACATATTAAAGACTCAAATCAGTCAGCTACCTGGCACTAAGAATAAGAGTTATGCTGTCTATATATGTAGCTATAGCAGTGTTTACTGATACTTGTTTCCAAAAATAAGTGTACCAGTGAAATTGTTGTAAACATGTTTCTTTTGAAAGAAAAATGCCTCATTAAAATAAACTTGAAAACGAACTTAAGCTGTTCCTAACACATTCAGGATACATTGATTATGATTATGAAGATGCTATGCTACCAGCGCTGCAGGCATTGAGCCCCACCCACATGCTTTGCTATTAGTAGGCGTGGCTAAAAGATGTCTGTCATCTTCTATTATGACATTGTATGTCCTTTTGCCTATATGGCGAGTCATCTCGTCGAAGCAGCTGTGACACGAGCTGGAGGAGTAGTCAAATGGACTCCAGTACTGCTGGGTATGTCGAACACTTCAGCAATTCAAGGAATTGATATAAAAACTATAACTTTAATCTCTTTGCTTAGAACAACTTTAAACTTAAAACTGATCTATTTTTTCTAATTATTGTTGTACAATAGGTGGGCTATATAAAGAAACTAAGGCTCCCCAGGGGAAGGATGGTTCTTCAATGGATGTCATGGCAGCATCGAAACTGGCTATCTCTTCTCAAGGTAGTGTCTACTATAAATTAATAATAATAATAATGTTTTAGATTTGAAGCGTCAGATGTATCGCTATGGGTTACGAGACTCCTCCCCTCACCATCAGCCTCAGAAGACCCTCCACGCTATGAGAGTACTAGCTGGTATTGATGACCATAGCCTCAGGGTGGAGCTGTCTAAAGAATTTTATAAAGTATGAGAGGAAAATGTAGTTCATGCATGCACATGTAGAAATTAGAATTACATTTCTAAATAGTAGTAGAAAAGCAAAGACTATAGTCCATGGTTTTTTCCAAAAAATGGCTCCGAAATCACCCCAAATTTTTATTACATTTTCTGATACATATTGATGTCCTTATGCTACGTAGAAAGTTTGAGTTGATTCCGACTTCAATTTTTTGAGTTGCGGCCATTTTAAAAAATGAGCCAAAATCTGAAAAATACCCAAGGCTATAGCCCATGGTTTTTTCCAAAAATGGCTCCGAAATCACCCCCAATTTTTATTACATTTTCTAATACATATTGTTGCTCTTATGCTATGTAGAAAGTTTGAGCTGATTCCGACTTCAGTTTTTCGAGTTACGGCCATTTTAAAAAAGTAGCCAAAATCTGAAAAATACCCAATACTATATATAGTCCATGGTTTTTTCCAAAAAATGGCTCCGAAATCACCCCCAATTTTTATTACCTTCTCTGATACATATTGATGTCCTTATGCTGTGTATAATGTTTGAGTTGATTCCGACTTCAATTTTTTGAGTTACGGCCATGTTAAAAAAGTAGCCAAAAACTGAAAATTACCCAAGGCTATAGCCCATTTTTTTCCAAAAAATGGCTCCGGAATCACCCCAAATTTTTATTACATTTTCTGATACATATTGATGTACTTATGCTACATAGAAAGTTTAAGCTGATTCCGACTTGAATTTTTCGAGTTACGACCATTTTAAGAAAATGCCAAAACTTTAAAAAATACCCAAGGCTATAGCCCATGGTCTTTTCTTAGATTACTAGAAAGTAGCTAAATATTTCTAATTAAAGCCCCACCTTATTTCTCCTCAGGCCTATTGGCAGGAAGGTCTTAATATGGAGGAGCATGTTTCTATTCAGTCAGTAGCTGATAGAGTCATTCCTGGCATTGATGTATCCAAGATGGCCGTTGATTCAAAGTGTTCCACAAACCTCAAGGAAAACACTCAAGAAGCAGCTGCCAGAGGAGCCTTCGGAGTACCAAGGTATGGGGAAAATACAACTACTATTAATTAATAATTAGCTATAATTATTTATGTTATATTTGTAATATTTTTTCTTTTTTTAATTCAGTTATTATGTCAAGGATCAGTTGTTTTGGGGCGTTGATAGACTTCATTTCGTTGAGAGGTTACTTGGAAAGAAAGATGCTGGCCCTGAAAGACTAGCATATCCTTCACCAGTAAAGAGAGAAAGAAAGAAAAAGAAAAGAGAGAGAGAGAGCATTCATTTAATTCTTGATTATTAATTCTATAGAATGGTGGTACAGCAGATCTTACATTCTTCTTTGATTATTCCAGTCCCTGGGGTTACCTTGGCAACGAGCAGCTGGGTAGAACAGTACAGTCAGTCTCACCTGTATCAGTTCACATACACTATGTACCGATACTTCTTGGTGCTCTCTTTAATAAGATTGGCACTCCAGTGGTAAGTGGAGAGGAATTTTTAATGTTGTTAAAAAATTAGGTCAAAGTCCCTGTACTATAGTATAGGGACTGAGTTTTTGCTTGTCACGGATTTCGTGACAATGGAACTAATGGGTTTTTGCTTGTCACGGATTTCGTGACAATAAAACTTCCTTCTTTCCTTCCTGTCACAGGTTCCCTTACAAGCAATGGCTCCAGCTAAACAGAGATACTATGCAATGGAGTTACAACATTTTGCAAAAGAGGCCAACGTCCCTTTTCAATATCCTGACTTCTTCCCTTTAAGATCTGTCCTTCCTTTAAGAGTAACACTAGCAGCTAATAATGACCCATCACTCATCGATATACTGTGTATGTGGTGAGAATATACACACACTTTCATGCATATCTTTTGAATAAAATGGAATTATTGTAATAGAATAGGTTTAAATATCATTTGAGATTTTAACCAGAGCATTCTATAAACAATTATTTTTACTAAGACAATGTTATTATTATTATTATTATTATTTTATTTATTTAATAGACAGAGCAGTATGGAGGGATAATAAGAATATCAGTGACCCTCAGGTTAACATTACTGGTTATACTTGCATACACTCCATCATTACCTTTTTAATCAATTAATGTCGTGATATTTTCTTCTTTTACAGATCCTGTCACTGATATTGGAGGAGAATGGTTTCCCTGCTTCTCAGCTACTCCAAGCCGCACAGAGTCAGCCTATAAAAGACCAGCTGTTTGCAAATACAGAGAAGTAAAATAAAGGAAAAAATCTATTATGCTTCTCTTTTTTCTCTAATCCAGAGCTGTTTCTGAAGGTGTTTGTGGAGTCCCGACTTTCAGAGTAAATGATGGACCTTTGCTATGGGGACAAGACAGACTCCATGTTGTTGCTGACATGCTGTGTGGCTGGAAAGAGGAAGATATCCTCTCCAGCAAACTTTGAAGAATAATTATTATACAATAATCTTTTTTTAATGTCTTGCACGACCATTTTTATTTGATAATAATCTTTTTTGTTGAGTGGAGAGAATTTATTTATAAAATTAACACAAAACACGACAACCAGAGGAACAACAATCACAGTACAGTTAGTTAGTTAGACATGGACTATCAATTGAAAGATGATGAAGTCAAAAATAATTATATTTATACACGGTCAGTTTTCAGTAGAGCAGATTTAAAAATAATAATATCAACAATAATTTAGTTTGCTCTCTTGTGCCTGTGGCAGTAAGGGGAAGGAGGGAGAGCATTCAGTTGGCACGGTAACCCGGAGCGAGTTAGAGAGGAGCATTTCATATTTCTGTGGCTACCGACAGAAGAGAATCTCTGAGGAGTTAAAGTAACAGCTGGTCTTAGCGGAGATGAAGGAGGAGGGAAAGAGGGTAATGGGGTTTCACTGGAATCATCAGATAGCTCATCATCATCAATGATGTCATTATGATGAAGAGGAGGAGGAAGGTTAGGAGAGGGTTGCTGTTTCTGAGGTAAGGACTTTGGTTGCTGTCTGAGGTTAATCTTAAAAGGATGGAGTCTTTGGTAGCCATAATAACCTAAAGAAGACAGACAGGTCAAGAAATAAACATAATTCTCCTCACCTATTATAACAGCTACTAAAGTCCAGACTAGTTCCATGAAACTCAGCCCTACCATGAACTTGACATCAATCATAAGATTACTGATGATTAGCACAAATAGACACAGCCTTGGTTTGAAAGGTAACCTCAGGAACAGAGAAACAAGTACACAGAATAGGAAAAAAGATAAATGAGATGCAATGCTGATCACAACATGTAGAGATCCTTGAGTGCCGCCTACAGTATCATTAAGATAGCTCAATTTATCAGTGAGACCAGTGTTCATGGTGTTTATTAAAATGAGGAGGTTTGAAATGGAGGTGTTCATCTCTTCCATGTTAGTCATTACTCTCTGATGGTAAGAAGTGAGTTCTTTAAACTTCATAAATAAATCCTGTGTAACTGAATCTAGTAGGAAAAGAATTTTTTATATTTCTCCTTTCATCTCCCTCTCTTTACCTATTCCATTCCAGACTTCCTTCACATTTTTGTTTAGTTTATCCAATTCTTTGATGGTTGCTTCCTGCAGTTTTAGCCTTTCTTTCTCCTGCTGGACAGACTTGGAATGTGCTAAATCTATAACAGAGAAATCAAGGCTGCTATTAAGCACTCACCTATAGTGCTAATGTCTTGTTACCTATATGCTTGTGAAGTTTATCCGTGACATTTTGCAATTCTTCTGATCTTTTTTTCAACAGTGTCCCCATGCCAGAGACAGTGTTAATGTTTCCTTGCATAAAAGAGTTGAGGACTTCCTGTGAAGTCTTAATGTTGGTCTGATGCTCCAATATGTCAACTTGTCCTCTCTTTAAATCAGTTAATGCATCATTAGTCTCTTCACGTAACTATCAAGCAAAAAACAACTCAGAGTGAAGAATTAAAATTGATCAAAAATAAGATATAAAGCACATAATTTTTTGTGTATTTTCTGAAATTTAAAATCATTTAAACAGGTTCTTGGTTAAATTAAAAATCATCAAAATATTCCTACACATAATACAATACCTTTTCATTGATTTGAGCTAAAGATTCAGCATCTTTGAGGTGCTGCAAAGTGACACTCTTTAACCGATTGACAACTAGTTCAGTTTGTATTCTAAACTGCTGCTGTGCCCTCACATAACAGAGTGCCCTCGCTCTGTTACTAATGATGTGATAGGTAGTCCAGGTATCAGGGTCCATTCCTCTGGTACAGTCTGCTATACTCTGTATGATGGATTAATGATGATGATGATAATGATGGATTAAGACATGCAATTTTATAATGAAATAATGTTCCCTGCATGTTGGTGCAGACATGTGACATACATGTGACGTACATGTGATGTACATGTGATGTACATGTGTTCCGATTATGTTATACATACCATTTCTTCTGTACATTTAAAGGTGGGACGTCCCTCTGCTTGTGATTGGCAGTTCATGAGTCTCACACTCAACTTAGCATGTTCCTCATCATCCATATCGTGACACGTATTGTTTAGGAGCATCATTACCTGAAGGGGAGAGAGAGAGAGAGGGAGGAATAATTTAAAACCATGCTCACCTACTTACCCTGTGTTGGCATTTCTGTAAAGGAGATACCCCAAGGAGCTGTTTTGCTTCGTCGAGAAACTTTTGCTCAATTTGCAAGGAGACACTCTCAAAACGAGCCAGTCTAACAGTTTCTTCGTCAAATTCTACTTGTGGTTTGTGTCCAGGGCCCAAATCCTCCTTCTTTCTCTCTTCCTCTTCAGAAAATGGCCACCAGGAGCGAGTCTGGCCCAAAAAGAGAAAGATTGTGATTATTAGACTTAACTGCATGGCTGTAAAACAAGAGGAGAACGAACAAAAGGCAAAATAGTTACAACTAAATTTCAAGGCCAAATTTAAATTCTGGCGCCATCAAGCCACGCCTATTTGTGCAGAGTAACCACGCCTTTTATGAATATTTTATTAGCCACACCTACAATAATTTCTGCAAAAAATTTTTTTGATGTTTAAGAAAATGTCTTCAGCCTCCATTAAAGCAATCAGAGCTCTCTCGAGGACTTCTTCAGCTTCTCTTGAAGTTGCAGACTGTCTCAAAAATTTACCATCTCTCATTCACTCGGTATAACACAAATAAAACTTGTAAAATACAATATTAAATTGCATTAATTTTTTGCAAAAAAAAAAAAAGTATACTTTTTTATTTTTAGGAGCTAAAGTCTTCAAATAAAGAATTAGAAGAGAGCAGTCATTATTTATTTGATGGTAGAGGTAAAGCAATAAGACCTACAATGTGTCTTTTAATGGCAGCCACTGCTAACTGTACAAGCTATAAAAGGTTCATTATACTTCACTTGATTATCCCATGACATCAGCGTTTAGATCTTTTATTTCTCCGGAGCAGCGTACAGTTGCTATGGTTACAGAGATGATTCATACCGCGACATTGATTCATGATGACGTGATTGATAATGCCTGGATCAGAAGAGGGAAAGACTCTGTTAACAAGAAATGGGGAGAAAGAAAGGTTAATGAACAAATTTTATATTTTAGATCCTTTGAAATATTGCAAAAAATAGTTTAATGAAAGAACATAAGCTACATAGCAACTTTGTTATTACAGCAATATTATTATTATTATTATTGTTGTTGTTGTTGTTGTTGTTGTTTATTATAGGCTGTATTAACTGGTAACTTTATATTAGCGGAGGCATCTCGTGTTCTCTCTAGCACTAACCATCCTCAAGTTATTGATCTACTGAGTAATGTACTGGAGGATCTCGTCAGAGGTTTATTAAATTATAATATTTATTTTAATATCATCATCATTATTATTGTATTTTAAATGTGGCGTACAGGAGAAGTTATGCAGCTGGATGCTTATAGTGATAATAAAGACATTTTATTTGAGCAGTATCTTCAAAAAACATTTAAAAAGACGGCGAGTTTGATGGCGTATTCCTGTCAATCAGTAAGTAATGATTCAAAAATTTAAAATCATTTTTTATTTTTTATTTATTAACAGGTGGCATTGCTGAGTGGTTTGAATGACGAGAAGTTGACAGCTGCTTTTCAATATGGAAAGAACTCCGGCTTAGCTTTTCAGGTCAGAATCAATGCTCTGCTACTTTTTTAAAGTGGCCGTACCTCGAAAATTTGAAGTCGGAATCACCTCAAACTTTCTACAGAGCTTAAGTACATCAATATGTATCAGAAAATGTAATAAAAATTTGGGGTGATTTCGGAGCCATTTTTTGGAAAAAACTATGGGCTATAGCCTTGGGTATTTTTCAGATTTTGGCTACTTTTTTAAAATGGCCGTAGCTTAAAAATTTGAAGTCGGAATCAACTCAAACTTTCTACAGAGCTTAAGTACATCAATATGTATCAAGAAATGTAATAAAAATGGGGGGTGATTTCGGAGCCATTTTTTGGAAAAAAACCATGGGCTATAGCCTTGGGTATTTTTCAGATTTTGGCTACTTTTTTAAAATGGCCGTAGCTTAAAAATTTGAAGTCGGAATCAACTCAAACTTTCTACAGAGCTTAAGTACATCAATATGTATCAAGAAATGTAATAAAAATGGGGGGTGATTTCGGAGCCATTTTTTGGAAAAAAACCATGGGCTATAGCCTTGGGTATTTTTCAGATTTTGGCTACTTTTTTAAAATGGCGGTAACTCAAAAATTTGAAGTTGGAATCAACTCAAACTTTCTACGTAGCATAAGTACATCAATATGTATCAGAAAATGTAATAAAAATGGGGGGGGGGTGATTTCGGAGCCATTTTTTGGAAAAAACCATGGGCTATAGCCTTGGGTATTTTTCCGAAAATTTGCTACTTCTAACTTTCATACTATTATGCTTGTAATCCTTTGTAGATAATCGATGATGTCCTTGACTTTCAAGCTTCACAATCAACTTTTGGCAAACCAGTGTCTGTTGACTTAAAACTTGGACTAGCTACTGCTCCAGTACTCTACGCATTAGAAGAAGTATATTAATCATAAATAAAGAAATGAGCACTAATCATTTTCCCCAGAGACCAGAGTTACTCAAGTTAATAAAGAGGCAGTTTAAGGAGAAGGGAGATGTTGAGTATGCTCTAGCAGCTGTACTTGATGTAAGTTCCCTCCCATAATCTTCAATAATTTTGTTGCAGAGTTCTTTATGCTTCATCTCTTTTCCTTTTTGTAGTCATCAGCTTTAGAGAAAAGCTTAAGTTTAGCCAGACAGTATGCTGGCAATGCAGTAGGAGTATTGGCTCAGTTCAGTGACTGTGAAGAGAAATATAAACTACATTCACTTACTAATGACATCATTCAAAGACAGAAATGATTGATAGACTCTTTACATGCAAAGACACATCATTCATAATATTCATATGATACATCATTTCCTTTTTTGGATCATCATAAATTACTCCAGCACTCATCATTATTAGCTAGTCAGTGTCAGCAGTTTCTTCTTCTCAACTAAAGAAGCAATGAAGTCCTTCTATATAGCTTGCTTTATCCTTGCTTCCCTTGCTTGTGCTGTTTCTGGACAAGAACCAGTACCAGAAAGACCACTTGGTAAGAATAAAACTTCACATAGTTCACCAATCACACTAACTAACATTAAAACTATCAAGTATACTTGTAATAGGAAAGTATACATTGAAGGAACAAATCTGTGTCTTATTATTATCATGACACTATTGCTTTTAACTATTGATTTTTTTCGCTACTTTTAGGTTTTGTTTATTTGGAGGACGCCCGTCCTAAAGTTGTCCTTGAAGTCTTCTATGACCAGTAAGCAGGAAAAGAAATACAACTTTATTTGTAATGCTAATTCTTGCCCAGTTTATGTGATGATTCTGCAGCCAGTTGGCCCACACTGAAGCAGGTAAGGATCAAACTGACCTCCTACACCATATGCATTCATCAATCCATGCAGATTGAATCAGAGTATTCTGGTAAACAAGGTCTTGAGATACTGATCCATATCTTTCCATTGGTGTTAGTAGCAAATCACACTACATATGATTCTCTTAATTCTTCTCCTTTTAGCAACCATCATAATGCATTCTTCATGCAGAAGGCTGGTGAGGTGGTGAGAAATGAGACACGTGGCGATAGGAATGAGACTGATGATGCCTTTGTAACATTCCTGGAACAGGCCTTCAAGCAACAAGAGGGTAATATACGTAATATATGTAGAGTATCTACAAGTATTTCAAAAGAGCTACATGCTCATTGAATAGAGAAAAAAGATGCAAGTTTTATTCATTTTAGAGTTTTTGACTGGAGCTGTTGATATGACTGAGCCTCAAGTACAAGCAAAGATAGCAGAATTTACTGAAACTGCTACCAAAGTATCCAAAGAGAAGTAAGCCAAGAAAAATTAAAATTAGAACACTTCATTTCTCTCCTTTCAACAATATTTATATGCTGCATGTGACACACATGTACCACTATTCATCCTTCATTAACAATAACCAAGCTACAATATTACATCATCTAAGTATAATCATATATTTAGTGGAGTATTTAATTATGGATGTGGTTTTTGTTTCTTTATAGAGTGATGGCTGGTTTTAAGAGTGAAAGGGTTGACACTAAATCTCGCAATGCATGGAGATACGCTGCCAGTCGCGGTATCACAGGCACTCCACAGTACATCATTAATGGTGTCCATGATTATGACGCAGTTAAACTCGATTTCGACGGTTGGAAGAAAATGATTGATGAACTCATGACAAGACCATCATAAACTTTATGCTATTTCACGTGCTATTTTGCTAAACATTTTAGAAGCTATTTGCTAAGAATATTAGACTAGAGTTATTGTTTTAATTCCTTTTTTTATTTTAAATATAAATGAAATTAAATCGAGACAAGTTTTGTGGGAGGCCAGCTATGACTGGTCCATAACCAGCAGAATTGTCATACAATTCAAACAAAGGAGCAGCAACAAGTTTATAGTTACGTGGAACATGGAACATTGTCCTTTCTGGTAACTGAACAAGAAATAATTTCTTGTGCTCCTAAAATAAAAAAGTTATATATTTGTATGTTTTTTTTTCATTCCCAAACTCTCATACTGGAGCATGAGAATGAGTCTGTACCTTAGGGTGAGTGCAGTGTGCTGGTATGTATGGATATTGCGGAGATTCAAAGTTTGGTCTCCACCAGTTGGCGACTACGTCTTCAACGATCCAGGTTGAAAGAGGAGTGTCTTCTTTTCCCAGGGTATCGTTAACAATCCTCTGGACACCCTCTGCTTCGCTTTCTCCCGGACCAACTTCTCCTGATGGAAGTTTAAAAAAAGTACTACCTAAAATATCAAAATTAAGAAATAATATTTACAGATATTAGCAGCTGCTCACAGATCTATTGCATACAAGATTTTCTACATGACTTTGGCCTAGTGTTCTACATCTGTCAGTGCATTTATACAAATTCTTAAAGTTGCTGCAAAATTTGACAAAATACCCTGTACTATAGTACAGTGACTTTGGTCAAATTTCGCCAAAATTAAAAAGTAAAAATTCTCCATTTTTATTACATTTTCTAATACATATACATGTTCTTATGTTGCGTAGAAAGTTTGAGCTCATTCCGATTAAAATTGGATTTTTTACAAATTTTTAAAGCTCCTCCAAAAGCCATATCTACTCTTGGCCATATGTTCAATAGAATTGATGTATTGAATATTAACACAATGTCATTGTGATTCTATCCATTGTTCACTGCATGCCACACACATGCACGATGCAATATTCATTAGAACTAATAAAAATAAATAAAAATATTCATAACAAGCCTATTATACCTCCCACTACTGCCAGGAATAATATTTACTAAACCAAATCTTATTACACACATCATGGGTACCAGAATGAAAGTTAAATATGAAAAATAGTGTGAATTAATTTTAATGAATGTTTAACATATTGGATCTAGATTAACTTCTTTACCTAACTGTAGAAGCAGTACATGAGGTAGATTGTGTTCATGAACTAATACAACTCCATCAACACTTCTTCTCATTCCTGTCTTCTCATAGTCTTCCTTGAGGCGGAGGAAACGGGACTCCACTGTCCTGTCCTTCTCATACAAAGGCTCTTTGGTACCAAAGGTGTAGTTTGAGAGAGGGTATAGCTTGATTAGTCTGTCCATTAGTATCAGAAAATAATACAGTCTGGAAAGAGTTAAAAATGAATTTGATCTTGGCTATTTTATTTTCCATTCCATGGTCCTCTATTATTTGCAAACAAAAAGCTTTTAAGCTGAGCTGAGAGCAACAATCAGTGCAATAGATCTAGCCACTGCATGTTGCAAGATTTCCAGACTTTATTTTGTATAAGATGTACAGCTAGTGTTGTAGATAACATTCCTAAACCATAATATAATTGTCAGCAGAGACGCACCCATTTCATTACTAAAATTCAAAGCAATCAAAGCAATATTCACACTGCCCTGATCGACTGGTCGTTCCCAGTTGCCAATAGTGATCCAACTTGTGAATCCGCTTGCCCTTTGTCTCCATCTCTACTCGTATCAGACCTGCAGTAATGGATAGCTTGACGAACAGTTTGAGGGGAACGAACAGAAGGCGTGCTGAGAGTGCCCTCCACTCTGTTATACAGATGGAAGAACAAAGCATTTTGTTGCCAGTCAGTAATTGCAACAAAAAGCTAAGCTTTTACATGACCATTACTGTCCTCTATCTCTCCCTCTCTTAATTTTTCTACCATAACAGGGAGGAGAGAGAATATCCCATTTATGTCAAAATGGAGAACTACTCTGTTACAGATTTGAAGATGCACAAACCTTGTATGAAGCATTTCAATGTGGAAAGGGCTTTTCCAGTACGTTAAATTGTTAATACTCATAACTTGTACAAAGTAGCAACTTGTGCTGTACTTGTAAAAGCTAATTACTGACACTACACTGTTTCTTTCTCTTGAAGATGATGGTAATTGCTTGGGCTGGAGAGAGGACAGCAATTCTCCATACCAATGGATATCATATTCAAAGGTATGTTAATTTATAATTATGTTTGTGTAACGATGTTTATTAATTTGAAGAGACTAATGAAGTAGAAATAATAACTTCTTTTGTTTGTTTAGGTAGAGGAAAGGTTTATGAACTTTGGATCCGGTCTCAGTAAAATTGGTGTAGCAGCAGGCCAAGAGACATTTCTGGGAGTATTTTCGCCAAATTGCATTGAAGTAAAATGATAGTCTAATAGAGTGTCTGTCTGTCCTATTTTGCACATTCCTTCATTCATTTACTCATTGACACATTCACCTATTGACCGTGTGTCTCTGTCTGTTACCAATGGCATCTGTTAGTGTGTTTTTAATGTAGTGGACGATTATTGAACAAAGCTGTCATGCTTATTCACGTATTGTTGTGGCACTGTATGATACACTTGGACCAGAGGCTGTGGCACACATCATTAATCAAGGTACTTACTGAAGAACCTTTCAGTATCACTTCAAACTTCTCCCTCTCTCTCTCTTTATAGCTACCATAGAGTGTATTGTCTGTCACTCATCAAAAGTGTCTGGTCTCATTAGTCAAGTATCTAACTGTCCAAGTCTTAAGAAGCTCATCACTATTGGGTCAGAGGTCAATGAAGACGAGAAGAAAGCAGCTGCTGATGTCGGACTTGAACTGTTCACCTTTCAAGAAGTGGAGGTACACTAATGACACCCTCTCTCTCTCTCTTATTGATAATTAATGATACAGGAACAAGGGAAAGAACACAGAGCTGAACCAGTAGTAAGATTATAAAAATAATTTAATGATAAAGTATCAAAATTTGATAATAATTATTATTACGATAACTCACACTTACTAGTTACCTACTCCAAATGACATAACTACTATATGCTACACCAGTGGTACTACAGGCCTGCCTAAAGGAGTCATACTGACTCATGGTAATGTAGTAGCCAATGTCTCTGGGATATTGAAACAGATTGTAAGTTTTTGATAGTACTATTATAAATTATTATTATTATTTTATAGGAAGAATCAGTTGTTATTGGTCCTACTGATGTCCATATATCATATCTACCAATGGCACACATGATGGAGAGATGTGTTCAAGTAAAAAATAATATCCGTTTTTATCCATGAGTTATAATAATTTTTTAAGGCAACCATGTTCATGTGTGGGGCACAGATTGGTCTTTATCAAGGAGATGTTAAGACTCTTGTTGACGACATACAAGTTTTGAAACCAACGCTCTTCATTTCTGTACCACGTCTACTGAATAGGGTCTATGATAGAGTGAGTTTCTGAATTATTTATTTATTTATTTGTTTGCTTGTTTGTTTGTTTAGGTTTGGAGTAGTGTTGAGAGCAGCAAAGCAAAAAAGTGGCTTTTTGAAACTGCTTATAAAAATAAACTTGCGGAAGTTGAAAGGTATGCAAAAACTGTGAAATAGATAACCAAAAAAAAACTGCCAAATCCACACTTTTAAAATTATAATAATTTTGTATTATAAATGTTTATAAGCTTCATTTCTTTATTCTAGAGGTATTTTAAGACGCAATTCAATTTGGGATTGGATTGTATTTGGCAAGATACAGAAATTGCTTGGAGGAAATGTGAGACTAATCTTATCTGCATCGGCTCCAATTAGTGAAAAAGTTGTTGCTTTTTATCAAGTCGCTTTTGGATGCTACGTAAGCTTTTGTCCCAGTTTTAAAACAATTGATAAGGCCACTTTCATTTTTTCACAGCTGGTTGAAGGATATGGCCAAACGGAAGTCACTTCAGCCTGTACAATGTCCCTACCTGCTGATACTGGCTGTGGACATGTTGGACCACCATTGGCATCAGCAAAAGTTAAAGTAGTTGATGTCCCTGATCTGAATTACTTTGCATCAAATGGAGAAGGAGAGATATGCTTTAAGGGTCCTTCTTGCACTAGTGGATATTTTAAGGAAGAGGAGAAGACGAAGGCATTGATTGATGAAGATGGTTGGGTTCATTCTGGTGATATTGGTAAATGGCTCCCTAATGGAACACTCAAGATAACTGATAGAGTCAAGCACATTTTTAAACTCTCACAAGTATAAAAGAATTAGCTCTCCATTATTACCAATTATTATTATTATTTCTTAAAGGGATTGTATATTGCTCCGGAGAAAGTTGAAAATGTCTGCAGTCGATCTCCTTTCATTGCTCAAATGTTTCTATATGGAGACAGTCTGAGGAGCAGCTGTGTGGCTATTGTAGTACCGGATGAAGAAGTACTGACCCAATGGGCAGGGGAACATGACAAAGGAGGCAAATCATTTGAAGAACTTTGCACTGATGAGGTAATGAATAATAATATTCCGGCTCTGTGTGTGAGATACTGTCATTCCATACTACAGGACATTAAGAAGATGATTTTCGATGATTTGCAGTCTGTGGCACGTAAAGAGAACCTAAATTCGCTTGAGATAGTAAATATACTTATATATTGATTTTATATTGTCATCCTTTGTGTAATTATTTAGCCAAAAGCTATTGAACTAATCTCGGAGGCTTTTAGTGTCGAAAATGATTTACAGACCCCAACGTTCAAGATTAAAAGACCAGCTGTCAAACAGAGGTACAAGGAAGTCTTTGATGAGCTGTACTCGAAATTACCTGCTTGAAAATTTATTATTAAAAAAATACTTTCACAAACTGATGTGCTAAATTTAATTTTTTGAAATTTTAATTTTCTTTACCTCATGAATAATTAATTTAGCAGTGTTGCCATGGTAACGAATAAATAAAGATGGAGAGTGACTACGTGAAAGAAACAGTTGGAGAAGCTCTTGCTCTAGGCTTAGCTCAAGTAGCTTTGGTCCGTCCACAAGATCCAATAGAGTATTTAGGATTATGGCTATTGAAGCACAAAAGAAACCAAGCAGAAGCAAAGGAAAAGGTACTATAAAGCTTGAATTATTACTATTATTACTGATTGAATTGTTGTATATTATATAAAGGCTCGAGCCATTAAAAACGAGATTGCTAGAGATGATGAAACAGCAGAAACTAAGCCAGTCACAACTGATAGTCAAAATGAGGGCAAAGGGGAAGAAGAGAATAAAGATCCTGGTGAAAGCACACCTCCTAAAACACCTCCACTGGCACCAGACATATCCCGACCTAACTCTAGACTTGGTGTCAAACTGAGCAGAATAGAGGAAGAAGAGTCGACCGAATCAACATGAAAACCTCTCTCAATGACTTCTCCTTTAACTACATGTATATCCTACCATAACTCAATGTATTGTGTAACAGTTCCTTCTTCTTCTCTAATGTCATCATAATTATATTTTAGTCGTAATAATACATTTTATTGTAATGTGTTCTCTATTTTGCTTCTGGTTCGATCTCATCGACCGATTTGCCAAAGTCAAAGAATCCTCTATAGCGCCTCAAAATGAATAAAGCTGCTTCTTCGACTGTGATTGGAGTGATACCAAGGTCCTCGAGTCCTGGGAGATCGCCGGAAGGTTCTTCTGAGAGATACATCTTGTGAAAAGAAATAAAATAGTATAAAATGGGCTTCTGAGCAACTTTAAAAATAATTTGTAAAAAGTCTAATTTTGATCGGAATCGGCTCAAACTTTCTATACAGCATAAGTACATGTATATGAATCAGAAAATGTAATAAAAATGGAAAATTCTCTACTTTTCATTTTTGGCGAAATTTGGCCAAAGTCCCTGTACTATAGTACAGGGACTTTGACCCGATTTTAGAGCAACTTTAAAAAGTCATAAAAAGTCCAATTTTGATCGGAATCACCTCAAACCTTTTATGCAACAGAAGAACATGTATATGCATCAGAAAATAAAATAAAAATGAAGATTTCTCCCTTAGTCATTTTTGGACATAATATCCTGTACAGTTTACATAATACCCTGTACAGTAGGTTTTGTCCAATTTAAGAGATGATCCAAGTACAGCTGGTGTGTGTGTGTGTGTGTGCACTTTTGACCAACTCACTCTGGTAAGGACATCTCTCGTGAGATAGGGTATAAAAGGTGATTGTTCCAAACCCCAAGCAGTCATTCTACAAGTGACAGTACATTCTTAACATTCACTGTCTAGTATCTGTCTCTCACCTGAACACAAATCTGGGGAGGTTGATAGGTCTAAAAGGCCTGTGTATCACACGGAAGAGGTAATCGACTAAATCAAGGAGCAAGTATTGTTTAGGACTGTAAGAAAAGAATTAAAATATAATGAGGAGAAGATAAAGTATCGGCGAGAAAACTACTTATAAATTTCCCTTTAAAACTTTGCAGCAACATATGTGACATTGCGAATGTGTAAAATTTAAAAGAAAAAGCAAATTTTATAATTAATAATGTTACCAATAATACCATATAGTCAATACAAGGATCTATGAAATAATTTTTTTCTTACCCTACAAGTTCGTAAGTTGTTCCAGCTGTTCCCTGGTCTGCTATTATTTGAACTACAGCTTTGGCTACATCAACCACAGACACTGGGTACTTATAAATGCCGTGTCCATAATTCATCAGTGGGACCCGTCCAAGTGGAAATACTTTAAATTTGGCGCACAAGTTAAAGTACCGATCCTCTCTTCCATATATTGCAGCTGGTCGGATGATGGTCGCATCTGGGAATACTTCACGGACTGCCTCTTCACCAGCTGCCTACAAAAACATTTGAAAATAAATAAACTCCTTTTACAACTACAAATACATGTACAAAATGATCATCTTTTCTTTACTTTCGATTGCAGGAACTTTGAAGGCGAGTCCTTAGATGCTCCTAATGCAGAGAAGTGGATCAATCTCTTCACTCCGGCCTTTTTTGCAGCTTCTGCTATAACTCTTGAGCCTTGAACATGGACATCGTCAAATTTGAAATTCCTACAAGAAAAGAAAAATAATGCAAATTCCTCCTTAATACCAGTGTAACCTTGTTTCGTAGTCCCTTCCAATTGCATTGACAACTACGTTTGAGTATTCAAGTGTCTTTGTCACTGATTCAGGATCCCTCAGGTTAAAACTCTAAGAGATGTATAACTCGATATTTATAACAAAATGTCTTCTCTTACACGGAATAGTATTTGACCAAGGTCCCCCATTGGCCGCAGGTGCCTATAATCGTGCTCATCTCCGCGATATGGAGCTACAATTTGTGACCCAACCTGACCTACATAAATAAAACCATAAACCATTCAAATTTTATTCGATATTTCAAAATTGTATCAAAGCCATTACAATTAGCATAAAGCTCTCTATTTTTACCTAGTCTGTTGACAATGTAGCGGCCACAGAATCCAGTGCAACCAAAAACTGTCGCTACTGTGCCACTGAATGATGAACGACCGCCTGTACCTCTCTTGACATCAGAGCTGATCGACTTCTAAATTTGTATCACAAAATAAAAGCATTATTCTGCTATCATCTCGCCTACTTTTGTTAGTTCTATTATGCAAGAAGTTCTAGGTGCTATAGGAATAAGTAAAAGTGTCACATAAAGAGAGTGAAGTACCTATTTTTAAGGATCTCTGAGACCTCAGAATGGTAGCCATTTTATAGGCGTGACAGAAACAAACACGAGCCACACCTCTTAATTATTTATAGTGGGCGTTGGCTGAAAGCAAATTATGAAGCTCAAGATGAAGCTGAAAATAAGCGTTGTTTTAGTGATACTACTGATAGGACTTGGACTCTTAGCAGTTTATTATAAAAAAAGCTCAAAAGTTAGAAAACTCACCAAATCAGTTGCTTATGGAGGAAATGGAGGAACTGAGTTTGATGACTACTTGGGGTTGAACAACATTTATGGCATACATTCCATTATAATCAGCTTTGGCGATATTATTGACTCAATTGAAGTCTGCTATGCCCACAACAATATTCAAAGAACTGTTGTACATGGAAAACCTTCTAGCAACACTCAAGTTGGATACATTGCACTTAATCTGCAAGAAGAAATCATAAAGATTGAAGGTAAAATTGATGGAGAAATGGTGGGCCAATTGACCATTACTACAATTGGACCGAATTCTGATGTTCCTAAAATATACGGGCCTTTTGGAAAGAAGGGAACACGTTCATTTACATTTGAAGGACAAATACTAGCATTTCATGGACGCTCTGGCAACAGCTTGGATCGACTTGGAGTGTACAGATTGGAGAAACTGACCAAAAGTGATCAATATGGTAGCACTAGTGCATCTCCTTTTGATGACATATCAGATCTAAATAATCCTCCTGTTGTATCATTGAAAAGCATTACTGTGTGGAGTCGTCCCGAAATGGTACAAGCTATACAAGCAGAATATCTTTTAGTAGATGGCAGCACTCTTGAAGGAGCTAGGCATGGAGCCAATTTTGCCACAGAGATAGCAACCATTCCATTGGAAGATGGAGATCAAATTGTATCTATGGATGGAAAAACAAACCCATCAGACAAATCTATTGCTGAGCTCTCCTTCACTGTAGCTAAAGGAAATAAAGAAACAAAGACATATGGACCTTATGGAAAAGGCAAGGGGGAAAAAGGAAGCAAGGCATTCCATGTACACGGAAATATTCTTGGAATACATGGAGCCTCTGGATCACATATAGAGAAGATTGGTGCATACTATATATAGTTTCACACTACATTACATGCATATAAAGTAACAATTTTGCTGTACTGCTCCGAAATATTTTATTTGACTGTTTTTAGTAGAACGGATTATAACACTGCATTTGTGCGTGGGCGGTGGCTGCAAGCTTGCTGCTGAGCTGGCTGCTTGCTTGTGCTTCAGAAGCCTGTGTCATTTTCTGCCATTTTAACGATAGTATGAAGAAGCTAATACCACTCACTATACTTGGGCTCCTCCTAGTTGCTTCTACAGTTACCTCAAAGGCTATTTCTCTCACTGATGCTGCCCCAGTTTATGCTAAAGATAGTCTAAAGTCCGCGGGCCCATTGCAGTCACCAGACCACTCACCAAATCAGTTGCTTATGGAGGAGATGGAGGAACCCAGTTTGATGATATAGCAGGGTTAGGCTCTACTAACATTTATGGTGACACTCAATAAACATCAGCTCTGGTGACCTTGTAGATTCAATTGAAGTCTTTTATCTCCTCAAAAACAAAACAATTCGAGGAGCTAGACACGGGAAACCTTCCAACACTCCAGTTAACATTGTACTAGATCCACAGGAAGAAATCGTTAAGATTGAAGGTAGAACTGATGGTAACTTGGTAGGTCAATTGACTATTACTACAATTGGACCGAGCTATGTTACAAAGACATACGGGCCTTTTGGTAAAATAGGAAAACGCTTCTTTACATTTGAAGGACAAATTATAGCATTTCAAGAACGCTCTGGCGACAGCTTGGATCAAATTGGAGTATACAGTTTGGAGAAACTGACCAAAAGTGATCTATATGGCAGTACTAGTGCATCTCCTTTTGATGATATATCAGATTTGGGGTATCCTCCAATCGTGTCTCTAAAAAGCATTAATGTATGGAGTAGGCCTGAAATGATACTAGCTATACAAGCAGAGTATCTCTTACTAGATGGTAGCACTCTTAAAGGAGGCAGGCATGGATTTTTGTATACTGACAATGTAACTACAATTGCACTTGAAGCTGGAGATCAGGTTATATCAATGGATGGGATGATTGCAACAAGCCAATTAAATCAGAACAAGTTTATTGCAAAACTTTCATTTACTGTAGCTAAAAGAAATGGAGACATAATCAAGTATGGACCGTTTGGAAAATGGGGCAGTGAGGCTTTCAATGTGCGTGGAAATATCATTGGAATATATGGAGAATCAGGATCAAATATATACAAGATTGGTGCATACTACATATAGTAACACTACTGAGCTAGACAGCTATTGCAGTGCATGTTTTATTTTGCTAATTTGCTATAATTATTCGTTTTTGAAATAGAAAACCCACCTACACGAATTACTGTGTGCATGCGTGGGCGGTGGCTGCAAGCTTGCTGCTGAGCTGGCTGCTTGCTTGTGCTTCGTATCATTTTCTACCATAGTAACGATAGTATGAAGAAGCTAATAACATTTACTATACTTGGGCTCCTTCTAACTGCTTCTACAGTTACCTCGAAGGCTATTTCTCTCACTGATGCTGCCCCAGTTCATGCTAAAGATAGTCTAAAGTCTGCGGGCCAAACGGTCACGAGACCACTCACCAAATCAGTTGCTTATGGAGGAGATGGAGGAACCCAGTTTGATGATATAGCAGAGTTAGGCTCTACTAACATTTACGGTGTACACTCAATAAACATCAGCTCTGGTGACCTTGTAGATTCAATTGAAGTCTTTTATCTCCTCAAAAACAAAACGATCAGAGGAGCCAGACACGGGAAATCTTCCAATCCTCCAGTTAACATTGTACTAGATCCACGAGAAGAAATCGTAAAGATTGAAGGTAGAATTTATAATAGTCAGCTAGTAGGTCAATTGACTATTACTACAATTGGACCGAGCTATGTGAAAAAGACATACGGGCCTTTTGGAAAAATAGGATCACTCTTCTTTGAACTTGAAGGACAGATAATAGGATTTCAAGGACGCTCTGGCGACAGTTTGGATCAAATTGGAGTGTACAGTTTGGAGAAAATGACCAAAAGCGATCTATATGGCAGCACCAGTGCATCTCCTTTTGATGACATATCAGATTTGGGCTACCCACCAATCGTGTCACTAAAAAGCATCAATGTATGGAGTAGGCCTGAAATGATACTAGCTATACAAGCAGAGTATCTCTTACTAGACGGTAGCACTCTTAAAGGAGGCAGGCATGGATTCTTGTATACTGATAACATAACTACAATTGCACTTGAAGCTGGAGATCAGGTTATATCAATGGATGGGATGATTGCAACAAGCCAATTAAATCAGAACAAGTTTATTGCAAAACTTTCATTTACTGTAGCTAAAAGAAATGGAGACATAATCAAGTATGGACCTTTTGGAAAATGGGGCATCGAGGCTTTCAATGTGCGTGGAAATATCATTGGAATATATGGAGAATCAGGATCAAATATATACAAGATTGGTGCATACTATGTATCAGAACAACTTAGCTGAACTGCTGTTATATCTAAATGCTACTACCGCAACTTGCTTCATTTTGCTAAATTGCTATTCATTAATTTTTAATTAAATGTTGCATCTTTGTTCTACACTTAATCAGTTGAGGGAGAAGTTTTCAATATTATATAAACAATAGTTTAAAGTTAGGATAGCAGCACTGTTCTATAAGTGCTAAGCAGGGAGCTGAGAGTACATTTCAACAATGTCTGGCATATACTTGGTACGAGCTGCTGGCCTTTTCAGCTTAAAAGTTGGAGTGAGTAGATCATTCTCCACAGAGAATGCAGTGGAGGTAAGTTCTATAGCTTTAGGCTGTGAAAAAAGAACAGGAATACTGTAAAATGTACTTGGAAAAGTTACACTTACTATTTCTAAGGAACTCAGACCATCTCTCTTCCCCACATTATATAAGTCATCAAATATGGCTTTCTTTACTTCCTGTAAAATGATATAAAAATACAGTAGCATATTTCAATAATTTTGTAGCAATATATCTTTAAAAAAATTAAAATTACTGTAAAATAGCATAATTAATTACTTCAAGTTACCTCATCAGTGCAGAGTTCTTCAAATGATTTGCCTCCTTTGTCATGTTCCCCTGCCCATTGGGTCAGTACTTCTTCATCTGGTACTACAATAGCCACACAGCTGCTCCTCAGACTGTCTCCATATAGAAACATTTGAGCAATGAAAGGAGACCGACTACAGACATTTTCAACTTTCTCTGGAGCAATATACAATCCCTTTAAGAAATAATAATAATAATTTGTAATAATGGAGAGCTTCTTTTACTTGTGAGAGTTTAAAAATGTGCTTGACTCTATCAGTTATCTTGAGTGCTCCATTAGGCAGCCATTTACCAATATCACCAGAATGAACCCAACCATCTTCATCAATCAATGCCTTTGTCTTCTCCTCTTCCTTAAAATATCCACTAGTGCAAGAAGGACCTTTAAAGCATATCTCTCCTTCTCCGTTTGATGCAAAGTAATTCAGATCAGGGACATCAACTAGTTTAACTTTTGCTGATGGTACAGGAGGTCCAACATGTCCACAGGTGGTATCAGCAGGTAGTGACATGGTACAACCAGAAGATGTTTCTGTTTGACCATAGCCTTCAACTATCTGTAATATAAATCATAATAAATAGTATAATAATAACAATAAAATAATTATTGTAAGATCTAGGAATAAATTTAGGAGACCAATCTAACTAAAATGGTAGATTTCAGGAGACATTAACCAAATATGAGAGACCAAAAGTCTCCTAAACTCCTTCTAGATCTAACAGTGAATTAGTAAAAGAGAACGAAGAATTAGAACGATGAAGAATGATGGAATTAGTAAAAGAGAATGAAGAGAGATGTTCAAGAATGTTTTACATAGCATCCGAAAGCCACTTGATAAAAGTAGACGACTCTCTCACTGATAGGAGCAGATCCTGTTATAATTAGCCTCACGTTTCCTCCAAGCAGTTTCTGTATGTTTCCAAACACGATATAGTCCCAAATTGAGTCCCGTCTTAGTATACCCCTAGAATAAAGCAAGTACAATGTACATGTACATAAAAATATTATGGTGTCTGTTGCAAAGCATGTTAAAAGGGGAAATGAAATCGCAAAAATACAACCCATTTTTACTATCTCGTGACTCTCACCTTTTAACTTCAGATAGTTTACTTTTAAAGGCTGTGTCAAAAAGCCACTTCTTTGTCTTGTTGGAGTTGACACCACTCAACACCTTAAGAATAATGATAAAATTAAGATGAGTATTAGTCAGATTTACTTTATCATAAATCCTGTTCAGTAGGCGTGGTACTGATATGAATATGGTTGGTTTCAGAACTTGAATGTCGTTGACTAAGTTCTTAATGTCACCAAACATATAGCCCAGCTTTAATCCATTCATAAATACAACAACCTACAGTAAGGAAGTGTTGCTTAAAGGTAAAGATTTTATTATAATTTTCTAATGACATGATCATGGACTATAAGTCCATGGTTTTTTCCAAAAAAAATGGCTCCGAAATCACCCCCAATTTTTATTACATTTTCTGATACATATTGATGTACTTATGCTGTGTAGAAAGTTTGAGCTGATTCCGACTTCAATTTTTTGAGTTACAGCCATTTTTAAAAAGTAGCCAAAATCTGAAAAATACCCAAGGCTATTAGTAACGCGGTAGCGTTACTAAGTAGGATTCACCCCCCAAACAAAATGGCTGCCACGACTTTTGCAGCCTTGCTTAGCCCATGGTTTTTTCCAAAAAATGGCTCCGAAATCACCCCAAATTTTTATTACATTTTCTGATACATATTGATGTACTTATGCTGTGTAGAAAGTTTGAGCTGATTCCGACTTCAATTTTTCAAGTTACGGCCATTTTAAAAAATTATGCGATGCATTGATTGACATGTATATGTATATTCATTTGCCATACCTGGACACACCTCTCCATCATGTGAGCCAATGGCAGAAATGATATATGACAATCACCAGGACTAAGAACAATTGACTCCTCCTATTAATAATAAATAATTATAATTATTATAATTATAATAAACACAGCATCATACAATGTAGCTACAAAAATTTAGTTGAGAAAGTAAAAAAAAAATTTCTGAGGTAAAAATTATGTAAAAAACTCTGTGTAAATGTGCTCAAATTTTTGATGCATATTAAAATTTTCCAGCTATAAAAAGTATCATTACTTACTATATGCTTGCACATCCCAGAGACATTGGCTATCACGTTACCATGAGT